CTTGATTTCTGGATGATGTTGTTAAGTGGTGGGATCACGTAGCTTCCCCCCGCCCCCCCCCCCCCCCCCCCGCAAAAGTTCTCTAATGACCCAAACCTATAAAAGATGTGAGTTCTAAACATGGATTTGCTTCTAATTGTTTTTTTATCTTTGCCAAGAATAAAATATCTTTTGCTAGTTTTTCTCCTTTTAAAAAACTGCTGCTTTAGATTCTGTTTTTTTGGAAGGAAGAATGAATATTAGTATATTTTAGCCATTTCTTTTATGGTGTCTGCAGTGTTTTTCAATACACAGGTTGTTCCCAGGTTTATCCAATAGTTTTCTTTTGCCAGGGATGGGTTGTATGTTTGGGTTTACTTCTTATAAAGGCAGTGGCTCTTTTGTTGGTTGTAAAGTATTACAATAATGAAATTTTTTAAAGTATTACAGAAATGGTTTATAATTTGCTTCTATAAAAAACTGTAATAAGAATTGTAATGCATTCTGCTGCCATATATAAATAAAATCCTGTTACTTTTAACATTTATTTTGATTTTTAGAGTTTATATTTTGGTAATTTCCTCTGTAAAAAAATTAATTAGTTGGAAGTAGAGATACTTTTAGAGGCCATATACTAGCCATAATATCTATACTGAAGTGGCATCACAAGTAATAGGAAGTGGCAGTGGCCTTAGAAGGTGAAATAAAGGAAACATATATTAAAGCTCAGAAAGACAAATTATTTAGAGTGACAAGTGAGAAATTTTGCTGCAAGTCTGAAACATAAAAACCATTATAACTGTTTTATCAATAAAGAGAAAAGTATTAAATGTAATTTGGATATTTTCAAATTCAGAAAACAGTGCTATAAATTTGAATATATGATGAATTGGACGTCAACTAGTAGTATCATACCTCATAAAAGATAGTACTTTACATTTCCCATTACTTTCTTCAAAGCTTCAACTGGCTCTGTTAAGAAAGATCTTTTTTAAAGTGAAAAGCAGATAGGTTTAAGTTCAGATTGGATTCACCCCTGCCCTCAGATGAGGATTAACAAATAAAATTAAGCAATTTAAATAGCAGAGATGTTTATGTGTAAAATTATAATGGAACTTTTTAGAAATTAGCTTCTATCATTTCTTTCTAGGACAGTCATTCTTAGCTATGCCTTTGAGTTTAAAGTATCCACTTTCAAGGTTTTTACCTGTTGCATTAGTAAGTAAATTCTCTGTAAGTTAGGATGATATGTAGATAGTATTACTTGTGTTGAATTTTGCATTATAACCGGGATGCATCATGACTGTTTCTACTTACACATTTTTTTGAATCTCTGGAGCAGCTCTTTAACAACTTTTAATATACATGTATGTTCTCTGGGGCCCTTGTTGAGATATAGATTATGATTCAGCAGGTTTGGGAGACTATGAGAGTCTACACTTCTGAAATGTTCTCCAGGGATGCCTGTGCTGCTGGTCCATGGACTACATTTTGAGTAGCAAGGCTGTAAGAGACAAGCGTCCTTATAGCTCTGTTGGGTGTAAAAGTCATGTACTCGCTGTGTCTCAATAGGCCGTTTGCTCTTAAAAAAAATCAAAACTAAGTCTGGGTTTGTGTTTTTTTAAGATTAACTGTTAACACTCATGTCTTTTCTTTTTTAAAATAGCCAAACAACGAATTGCTCATAAACCTCATTCCAAACCAAAAACTTCAAATATTTTTGAAGCAAATTTTGCAAATGAAGTAAAATCTGAGAATTTGCTTGCTGATAAGGAACTGTGGGCTCGACTTGAAGAACTAGAGAGACAAGAAGAATTGCTGGGTGAACTTGATAGGTATCTAATAATAAATAAATTTTCCAAAATAAATTTGTTTTTATGCAGAAAGGTATAATAAATTATCAATAATCTTTCCCCCCCAAATAAATATTAATTCTCTAGAGTACTTTTTTAGGACTGTGTCCTTATGTACATTCTCATGCATGTGCATGTACACGCTTAAGATAAACATCTCCATTTTCTTCTTTTAAGAGTTGACCTATATTTTATATAATGAAGTAATTATAACAGTCGATTTTTAATAATTATGGATGCATTAAATATTAAATTTAATGAAGTATTTTTATGCTGTACTCCAAGATGTTTTATCTTTGACTTTTTAAAAAGAAAAGTTTGGGGCTGAGGCTGTAGCTCAGTGGCAGAGCACTTGCTTAGCATGTGTGAGGAACTGACTTCAATCCTCAGCACAACATAAAAATAAACAAATAAAATAAAGGCATTGTGTCCATCTACAACTACTAAAAAATTAAAACAGTTTGCTTTGAATTTTAACTTGAAATTACTAAGTGTTTATCCTTGCCTTCCATTTGCAAACTTTTTTGTTTATTGAATAGGCAGTTTGTAATCTGATCAGGTAGTTTTATGTATGAGAAACTTTACTAAACTGCTATTTGTAATACACATTAGCACTTACTTAGAATTCTCAAAATGCTAAATGAAGTCTGCTACTACCGAAGTTCCTATACTATTTTGCTTAAATGATGTACCATATGCAGTAATTCTGTGAAAAATAAGACAAGAAACACAAAAGATTTTGCCCCTACCATTTCACCTATAAATTCTTAGGTCTTTTTGATTAACTGGTACTATTTCACTTTTTAAAACCAGTATTGGATCTTCTGATTTTCTTAGTCATGATTCTCTTTCTATTTTTGCATGATGTTATTTCAGTTCTATTGCATTTTTGGTTTTGTTATTTTTATAAGGGTCCTCAACTCCTTTATAGAATGAAGCGTGATAAGTGTATATTCATTTGTATAAATGTAAGTATATTCATGTGCATATGTATATATATTTTCTCTCTTAAAATTACAATAATACATTTTTGTATTATTTTAAAATATCTTGAGGATAGAAAAAGAAAATAAAGACACAATTATGTGGCATTAACTTCTACTTTAATAGAAATACATATTCTTTGAATTTCTTGTTGTACTATTGATATTTATATTTTTGGCCAAAATTCAAAGATAAAGTTAAACTTTATATTCTACTTATGTGTGAAAAGTACAATGTACAGAAATGGCATAGAAACTAATTTTTTTAATTCACATAAAAATATTTTTATCCTTTTTTTAACCTAGAATTCTAGTTTAAAAAAATACTTTATTCAAAATCTTGTAACCCAGGACTGGGGTTCTGGCTCAGTGGTAGAGTACTCGCCTAGCACGTGCAAGGCACTGGGTTCAATCCTCAGCACCACATAAAAATAAATAAATAAAATAAAGGTATTGTATCCAACTACAACTAAAAAATAAATATTTAAAGAAAAAAATCTTGTAACCCACTGAAATAAGATGAAAATTCGAATAGGTAAAATTCTAGTGTTTTTGTTTTATTAATATTCTCTTTTTCTATTACTAGTAAGCCTGATGCTGTGATTGCAAATGGAGAAGACACAACCTCTTCTGAAGAGGAGAAGGAAGATCAAAACACAAATGTGAATGTGATACATCAAGAAACAAACTCCCTTACTCCCAGCAGTTATCATAAGGATGTTACACATTCAGAACAATTCAATGGACAAGTGAATAGTCAGTTGAACTGTTCAGTAAATGGTTCAAGTTCTTGTCACAGTAATGAAGAATATGATGAAGACAACAGTGATGATGGTTATAATGAAAATGACCATAATGCTTTAGGGATTGGAGATAATTCTGTACCAACAATATATTTTTCTCATACTGTTGAACCTAAGAGGGTTTGTATTTTTTTAACTTTACTAATTTTTCATTTAATTTGAACATTAAATACCATCTATGATATTTTTTAAGAGAAAAGTAACAGTGATGAATATTGATACTGCCAAATAGGAAAATCATCTTTGCCTCTTAATCTGACCAATGTATCTTAAAAGAAAAAAGGGGGGGGGGATATTCTAATTAGTTAGCTAGTATTGGTCCATAGTTCAGAGAAGCCACAATGTAATTTGAGCTGGGATCTGGAAGGGAGTCATATTTAAATTGAAGCTACGGTGGCTCCACCTGTCCTTACTACAGAGAGTTTTCTTAAGAACTCTGTAGTTAATTATATTGTGGGCATTTTGGTATGTTTAGTATGTTGGGAGGGACTATTAGTTTAATTTTCTATTATGTCAGGTTTTTGTTTTCTGTGTCAGCAATCAATGAATAAGAACATCATGGACAAAAAGGAAAAATTTAGGAGAAAGTCAATTCTTCCTTTTCTAACAAATATAAACATCTGTATATGATGTGTTTAGAATATGGGCATTTAAGAGCTGGGGATGATTGTAGAGATCTTTTAATCCAGGTTTTCAGATTTATCTTTTGTATCAAAAGCCTTTTTATTTCTTCCATAATTTTTGTAGAATTTCAGTATTTAAAATAGATCAAAGCAGGCTGACTTTGGTTGAAGGAAGCATGGGATACCTTAAGTATACCTCTGCCCTCTCTGTGCCCATGTAGTGTATAACGTACCTCCAGGAATTCATCTTTCTAATTCAGGAAATCTTCAGGTCTACAAGACATAGAGATGGTAATAAATCAAATGTGCCTTTGACCCATGGTACTTGCATGCCTGTAAAAAAATCTTGCAAAAAGTCTTTCCTACTATAGTTATAATATGCTTGACATGTAGTTTTCCTTTTCAGAGTTCAGAATTATGGTTCATTGTTAAGTGCCTGTGATGAATAACCATACTTCATACATTTTAGGTTTCTTAAGTTATCCTTGTTCTAATAGGAAGTGAAATAATTATATATATGTGTGTGTCTGTGTGTGTGTGTGTGCGCATGATTTACACACATATACACACATATTCTAATACATCAAACTAAAGGGATCATTGGTATTCTTTGGGAAAATTTGACAGGAATGATTAGCTAGAAAAAAGTTTTGTGATGCTTTTAAGTTTTCTTATTTCCATTTAGATGAAACAGGAAGAATAAATAATATTTGTAGGAATGTTATGGGAAAGAACAGTTACTAACATAGAAAATGTGGCCTTAATGCTAAGTATTATAATCCTGAACAGGATTAGTTTTTAGTGTTCAGACCTTCAGTTTCTAAAATTAAAAATGTTTAAAAATTTTTGGAATACTTAAACATTATCTGATATTACTTTATGGCTTAAATGTTATAGTCTTACTGAATTTTTCTTTTGGTTAATTGTGCCTTTGTTTTGAAATGTATGATTTAAGTCTAAAACTTATACCAAAGTAATGGAGTGAGGTGAAGTGAAGTTTAAGATAAATCTAGCATTTAGTTTAAATGTTTTTTGCTTTCTATATAATAATAAAGACACGACTACAATAAGTCACTAAAGAAAATATAATTTTTAGCATTATAGAAATATGATAAGGACTTCTTTACCCTACCTGATAATGCATATTATTTCAGTACTGAAGAATTTTAGCTCTATCTCTTTTAACTATTACTTCTTTAATTATAGAATTTATATTTTATTTTGGTCCTTGATTTAATTTCCCAAGAGATTTTTAATTTTTTTGTTGTGAAATTTTTAGGTTCGAATAAATACTGGAAAAAATACCACTTTAAAATTCAGTGAAAAGAAAGAAGAAGCCAAACGTAAACGAAAGAACAACGCTGGAAGTGGTCATTCTGCTCAAGAGCTGCCTACAATCAGGACTCCTGCTGACATTTACAGGTGAGTAATATCTATCACAGACTGTAGTGTAATCTGCAGATTCCTTTTTTTCTAACTGGACTTGTATAGGAAAAGATTGTTTGTAATCCAGAAGATTCTGAAAAATTAAGTGTTCTGATGAAGTTAGCTTAGCATTTGAAAAGCGCCACTGCAACAGCCCAGTCCAAAGCAGTTGGAACGTTGTATGGTTATTTTTTCATTTTCTTTTCTTTACTAGTGCCTTTGAAACATTCCCAACTGGTCTAGGCAAAAAGTCTTTCATCTTAAGTTTACAAATGAAAGCTAATACTTAAAATGGGCTAGGATAATACTTTCTTTCCTACTATAGTTATAATATGCTTGACATGTAGTTTTCCTTTTCAGAGCAAAAATTAATTATACTGTTTCAGTTTTTTGTTGTGGTGTTTGTTGAAAAAGTTATCATTTGAAACTGCTTAACTATTTTTGACATGTTTGTAAAATGGTGAAAATTGCCAAATGTCTTATTAGTGGGTATAAAACTACATAGAATTTTTGCAGATCACCTAGATGTTATCACCTACAATATGTTTATAATTAACATGCTATATTTTGTTAGACAAAAAAGTCATGTCTTCCAAAAATATGTTATTTAAGGCTGTGAAATTACTTTGAATGTAAATATTTTAGATGGAAACTTTCCAACAAAAAGTTTCAGATTAATTTTGAGATTTTAAAAATTTCTTATAAAGTTACTTTGTTTTATGATTTAAGGTGTGTGTATTTTTTCAATATAGAGTCTTTGTTGATGTTGTGAACGGAGAATATGTTCCTCGTAAATCTATCCTGAAGTCTCGAAGCAGAGAAAATAGTGTTTGTAGTGATACCAGTGAAAGCAGTGCTGCTGAATTTGATGATAGGCGGGGAGTTTTGAGGAGTATTAGCTGTGAAGAAGCCACTTGTAGTGACACCAGTGAAAGCATTTTAGAAGAAGACCCACAACAAGAAAATCATCAAAAGAAACTTTTGCCATTATCAGGAACATCTGAGGTGTGTATCTCTATTTCTATAGTATCTTTGCAATTTTTACTATTTAGTTGGAAAAGTTATAGGATCTAATTAGTCTTAGATTTGTACTTTTTGGATAATAATTTGTTAAAAATAGTCACTAGCAAACACAATTGTGGTATTAGAATAGTTCAAAAATTTGTTTTAGTGAAATACCTGTTTTGAAATTTTATTTTGGTACAGTGGCAATTTAAAAATATCTGAAGTGGCACATGTGGTATAACTTTTAGATAGAAAATCATTTAGCAGTTTATATTAAATAAATTACCCGTGGACCAGACTATAGTCATTTTCTGTTAGCTTGAGTAGAAGTGCCTTGGTGCTTTGATGAAGGCACCAAGTGCCTTGGTGGAGTTGAAGAAAAATGTAAATAATTTTTCTATGTTTTGGCCTGTTCCAGTGAAACAAAACTTGACTGGTTATGGGATCATTTTCCAATCTGATGGAACCATCAGAAAAATTGGGGCACACTCATGTTTTGCCCACCATGTTGCATACAGTTATGTAGAAGTGGAAGACAGGTTGAGAATACTGAAATAAGAATTCCTATCAATGAAATAATATGGTATAGTTTCCATTGTACCCAGATTTGATATTTTTATTCTTGTTTTGATGGGTACTTAAAGCTTTCAATTTATAAAGTATTTAGGAAGACTGGAAAACTCATACCTGTACCAAACCAATGTGCACATTTATATATACATCAGATACATGTAAAAATATATTTATATATAAGTTTATTTGTAAAAATGTCATTGCTTATACTCTGTGGTTCTGCTTGTACCAAATATGCTAAAAGGTAATTGTGGATAGAGATTGTTAGCATTTAGAGGACCATACATAAAACTAGATTGGTCTCCTCTTCCCCTAGTAGAATGATCTTATGTGACCCAGAAAATATCTTATTTAATAGTCTGCGATAATGACTGTTAGAAAACAGGTAATAGACTTTTGCCAATAAAAGCTTGAAAATTTGATTTTTGTAAGAACTTTAAAGTATCATAGTATAACTAGAGTTAGAATATGGAACTTATTTTCACCCTATGAGCTTTGTATTTTGTATTGAACTATTATAATAGCTGTTATAATGCTGTTTTATGTTAAAAAATAAATTTTTTAACATCAAAATGAATAGTTCGTGATTATAGCAATAGTTTTAAAAATCATTCTCAGTATCTTTTAAATACCAAACGATTGGGTCTTTCAGAAGTGTTTTAAAGATGATATGAAGACTGTGCTCAGCATAATAAAATGGAGTTTCTAGAAAAGTAAGCTTTGGACTGTTTTTAAGAGCTATACTCCCCAAATATTTTGGGAAGAAGGTAGCATTTCTTGTTTAAGTGGTGGAGTAGGGTGGAGGATCATGGCTTTTCAACTGTTGTCTTAACTAATTTTGAACATTTGATAGACAAAGAGAAGCAAAATATGTATAAAAGTTTACATATCAAATTTTAGTTTGTACTTAAGTTTTTAGAAAATGTAATGAGAGAGGTTTAAAATACCAGAGATCTTAAAAACAATTCCTGGGGCTAGGGTTGTGGCTCAGTGGTAGAGCGCTTGCCTAGCATATGTGAGGCACTGGATTTGATCCTCAGCACCACATAAAAATAAATAAATGTCTATCAACAATTAAAAAAACATTTTTTTAAAAAACCCTCCTAATTTCTGTTTCTAAATTTAATTGCATTAAAATTATAAAGCCTATAGTTAATCACAATAGTGTTAACAGTTTCGTTTTTCAGATTCCACTGATCTCTTAAATAAAATTAAACAGGATGCAGTAAAATACTCAAATAATCATATAACCACTAAAGAGATGTCAGTACTGTTGAAAATAAGATATTGGCTAGCGGGCAGCATGGCCTCCAGAGATCATGTACCAACTGATGCACCGGAGTCTGCATTTGACACCCTAGTATCTTTTTTAATTTAAATACATATTGTTTCACAGTTAGATCTAGACATAATAGAATGTGTAAAAGCTTAGGGCCCCTTTATTTATCATTTTTGTTTTTTCCCAGACAAAATAGGCATTTTGCATATTGTTTCTTGCATGTGTACTATAAAAATTATATTTTGGTGGTGTAAGTAGGAAAAATTTAATGGTACTCAGTTTCTCTCTGAACAATTTATATTCTGATGTTAAAATATTATATATTTCCCAAAATCTTGTGAATTTACTTTTAGTGAGAATAAATGTCTAATTGGTGAATAAAGTAAAGATTTTATGGCATCTTATTTATAGGTTTATTACCATGAATCTGACTTTTTGTCTTCTAGGCTTTTTCTGGAACTGTAATAGAAAAAGAATTTTTATCCTCTTTAACACCACACCCAGCCATTGCTCATCCTGTACTACCCACCATTCCGGAACGAAAAGAAATTCTGTCAGAAGTATCAGAAGAACCTGCAAAAAGGGTTTCAAAGTTCAAAGCTGCCAGATTGCAACAGAAAAACTAGGAAATGGGAGTTTACATCCTAAAACCTAGTTGTGCATTTTTAGAATGTATAAGCAAAATATGTTACATGTAGTTTGAAATAAGGTGTTTTGAGTTAGTTTGGTAGCAAGTTCTCTTATCAGTGATATTACAAAAATCATAGTAAATGTTTGAATACATTAACATTCAGCTTGTTTTGTTAATTCTCTGACTACTAAGTTGGCCTTACAATTTTGAATTATTTTTCAAAGAACACAGTTCATATGCATTGCTTTTGTGTTTTAAACTAAATACAAGCAGTTTTGTACCAGCTGTGATGTTGTGTGTACCATATGGACCATTTAAAAGAATCTTTTAAGATATCAAATAGATTCAACAATTATATTACTTGCTTTTGCATTTTAAAGGCACTTTAAAAAAAATCTACTTCCCTTATAGGTTTTGTAAGCTAGGTGGCTATTTAAAAGAAAGAAAGAAAGAAAAACAAACAAACAAAAACCACTTCCCTTTGAATGTCATACTGTAATCTTTAAGACAGAAAGCTACATGTACCCCATGGGAAAGTTTCTTTGACTGGAAGAATGATATTTTGTAAAGTATTTCTTTTCAAGTAAAAATTTTATGAAACTTGGTCTCTAAAATGTTGCGAACTTTATGATTTAGAACTGAATATGGAAATGTCTTTGATTCATATGTGTATATACCACACAACAGATTCTTGAATTCTTATAATTCCATAGGAACTACTTCTCCCCCTTCTGTATAGTTTTCACTGGGATTACCTTTGGGAGAGAAGGAAAGTTTGTCTAGATGCTTTAAAAAAAAAATGAATGAATGAATGAATTTTTCAAATAAAATTTTCTTATGTTTTAATCTTTCCAACATTTTCATTCTTTAAGCCTACTTTACTACTAGTAAATAACTAGATAACATATTTACTTTGTTACTTTGTAGTAAAATTCCTTAAAGATAAATTTAGTCTAACATTGAAAATTATACTGCAAGTGTTAATAATTAGCTTGATGCATGCTAAAATGTAGCTTTTAAAAAGCATTCTGCATTAGTACTAAAATAAGCCATCAATGCCAGTCCACCCTCTATTCATGGCTAAATATTTAAGGGTTATTTATAGCTTCTTTAATGAATTCTTGCTTAAACAAAGTGAAATTATGTCCTAGAAAAGTAGAAGCTATTTGTAACTAGAACAGCACAACTGTAAAAAGTTTTATGAATATGTATTTTAATGATAAAGGGGTGAGCTTGAATCCCCAGTAATTAGTGGATCATTTAGAACAGAGAACTGATTTTGAAAGATCACCTAAACATGTAGAAAATTTGTTCTTTAGTCAGTTCTGATCAGCTGTATGTTTTGTAGTTAAAAACAGGTTTTCTTTCAGTTCACCCTGTTCATAAACCAAATAGTGCAAACCACTCACAAAGGAGTTCTCCCTTTCTTTCTCAATTGCTATTTAAGTGAACCTTTCTGTGTTAACCCCCACTCCCCGCCCCTGGTTAGAACAAACTTTATTGTAGGACTGTGGTGGTATTTAGAGATGTATAATTTCAAGAGTATTGTCATTAAATATTTTTTCATGTTTATGAACTTCATTTTGAGCCTGCTGTTTATATAGTCTGTTACTTCCTTCAAATAATTTTTCTTTCATAGAATATGGTAGTAGAAACAACAAAAAGTGTTTGATAACATATTTTTTGTATGTTCTGCTCAAGACCATACGAAATAGTGTTGCCCCATTTCATAATTTCAATCTTATAGCAAAGTTTTACATTATAGCTTGAAGTTATTAAATTCAAATTTCCTTGGGACAAAATGAAGCTGGTCTTAAGGGTTCTGCTTTAAACCACTGTAAAACAGAACAGCAGACCAAAACACTCTTTTCTTCACCTTTACTTTGAATTAATTTTAATGCTACCACCAAAAATTGCACCAAACAGTACAGAGATTTCCTGTATGCCTGCTTCCCCCAATATTATAACATACAATGTTTCTACAATGATCAAAACTAGGAAATTTATATTGGTGTAATTCTACAAACTGCAGATCTTAATTTGAATTTCACCAACTTTTTCACTAATGTTCCTTCCAGAATCCTGTATAGTACCCTAACTTTAATTATTATTGTTCCTTAGTCTCCCCTGATCTCTGACAGTTCCTCAGTTTTTCCTTGTCTTTCTTTACTTGACATTTTTGAAGAGTACTGATTGTAGAATGTTCCTCAGTTTTTTTTAAATATATTCACATAATTAGAATGAAGTTTTGCATTTTTGACAAGATTACTATAGATACACATCATATCAAGAGGTTCTTGTTAGAGATACCTTCTGCTGTGTCATTTCAAGAAATCTTTACTTCAAATTGTGAACCGTAATCACTTGGTTAAGATGATGTCTGTCATGGGCTGAGTGGGGCACACCTGTAATCCCAATGGCTCGGGAGGCTGAAGTAGGAGAATGAGAGTTCAAAGCCAGCCTCAGCAAAAGCGAGTCACTGAGCAACTCAGTGAGACACCCTGTCTCTAAATAAAATACAAAATAGGGTAGGGAAATGGCTCAGTGGTCAAGTGCCCCTGAGAGAAGATGTCGTCAGTGGAGCTCTGTCAGGAGGTATCTCTGCTGTAAAGTTTATATCTTTTTCTTTATAGTTAATATCTCAGGGGAGATCATTTAAGATTGTGTAAATCTTTTTTTTTCTCAATGTGGAGCCCACAAATTTTGGCATCTATTGTTGGGTCTTGTCTGAAACAGCACTGTTGTATTTTCCTAATGGTGATTTTCTGTTTTCTCCTTTCCTTCTACGTTTGTTTTTTGGAATTCTTATGTTCTAAACAGTGCCTCCACTCATACCCTGTTAATTTTTATATCAGTGTGGACTCCTGGATATTTATTTTATTCTGTGGATTAAAATTCAAAACTATCATTGTGATGCAGCTCAATTTGTTCTATCTTTGGCCATTAGGAACTCCTTTGCATTGGCTTAGAAGTTCATTCAACAAGTTCTTTATTTTTTTATTTTATTATTTTTGAATACTTTCTTACCCTTTACCACCAAAAATTTTACAGGCTCTGCTTATATATTTACTTGTCCCAGCACTGGAATCAACCACTTCTCCAGGGAACCCTGTCTCTTTATTGGACATTGGGGCTTAGAAACCAACCAACATCTGTTCATGTATTTACTGTCACTGAGCTGTCATTGCTTCTTGTCTTTTTCAGATGAGAGAAATTTATGTGTATACTTACCAACACACACTTTTATATGTTTAATTATATTAAAAACCATGAGCTTATACTGATACTTGATTTTAACTACCATAGGACTTAGGTTTTCAAGTTTTTCCTTGTTTGTGACTTCTTTTCTCCAATATGGATAAACCTGGCTCTTATCTAAATGTATTTATTGTTTTTTGAGTGTAATACTCATTAGTTTGGAAATACTAATTTGTACCCATAGGAGAAACACATTTATTAAGTACATTACACTATTTAAGTATAGTTCTTTTTGTGGTAGCCTCATATTATGTGGAGAAACTGTTTCCCAAAGTTACACAGGCTCATTCTTTTCCACTCTCTTCATTGTAATTGTCATTCATTTGTACTACAGCTAGTTTGTCACTCTCTGAATTCCATTGAGGCTTCTCTGCATATCCTGGTTGGTTTGAATGGTTTATTGAGGGGGGGGGGTCTGTAAAGGAATGTGAACATTAATTTTGGTTCTCAGAGTTGAGAGTTGTATGGAAAGGCATACTTAAGAAAAGTGTCACTCCCTTCCCTGTTTTCTTCTCTCTCTTCAATTCCACCTCCCTCCTTCCCATTCCCAGCTTCTCTGTTAAACCCCTACTTACCCATTTTAACTAACTGATGTTTTTAGTTTCTAGTTTAACATTTCTTTTGCACAAAGAGCAGATGTTTTCTACATATCTTTTTATATTTCTTTAGTTAAGGACACTCTCCACTGCTTTTTAATTAATGTTTCAATTAATAGTACACCCTGGTAACGTCACCATGTCAGTTTATACAGATCTTATTCTTGTTTACAAAGATAGAGTACTCCATTGCATAGGTAGATCACTGTTTGCTCAGCCACTTTTCTATGTATGGGCATTTAGGGTGTTTCCTGTATTTTGCAATTACGTATAACGATGCAGTAAATCACTTTGTATTTTTTGTATCATTGGAGGTTTTATCTTTGAGGTAGATTCCTAAAAGTAGGATAGATGAGCTGTCTGCACAATTAGTATATACTTTTTACTATTACTACATGTTTTCTTTAGCAAAATCTATTTTTATATATATTTGTTTTGTTCCTTCATTGGGGACGTGTTTTTAACATATATGATTGTATATCTGCATTTTATTGAGGATTTTTTTTTTTGTTTGTTTGTCTGCTGGGGATTAGAACCCAGGGTCTTATGCATACTAGGCAAGCATTTTACCACTGAGCTACATTTAAATAATGATTTAGGGAAAATATAGTGTCTTAAACAGACTTTAGTCATTGAAGTATATTGTGTTGTATAGTTATGTTCATTTTGCTACAAAATTTCAAATTACTTATGCTTGTGATTTATATGAATTTTCCATTTATTGTAGTATTTCCAAATTCATAAAATTCACTTGTCTACTTACTTTATGGATTTGTCTTCTCCATAAGAAACAGCTTTCCAGGGTTAAAACTAATCTGTGTGTCCTTTAGTTGAGTGGCATATATATTCCCAGATAAATGCCTCTAAGAATTCCTCAACTACAGTAAATATTTATGGCTTTTGTGTCTAATTTATTGGTCGATAATATCAAATTTTTACATTTTAAAATACTTTCTCAGTTATTTAAATTTTATTTTTGAGGAATATAAGGTAAAAATTTTTGTTGTTCCTTTAACCAATGAATCAGATATTTTTGAGCACTGACTGTCAAACATTTTTTATGAACTTTATGTGAATTATTTTTCATTAACAGCCTAGTAATATGAGTACTACTGTTTTATTTCTCTCCTATTTCCCATTTTAGAGATGTGGAAACAAAGAGAAGGATACAGCTACATTTTAAATCATATGACTATTTAAGTGGGTTAAACCCAAGCATCCTTGCTCCAAAATCAGCTTACTTTAAGACTTTTTTTTTTGGTGGTGGGGGGCATTATCTGCTCTCTCCAAACAAGAGTACTTAGCTAGTAAGAAAATATGTGACCTGTATAATATTTATGATCTTACCATTAGTTCAACTTTTAAAAATATGAATTTGAAACTTGTTTCTTGAACTTCTTACATGAGGGAATTCATTTTGACATCATTGATGGAGTCTCAATGTTAATTTGGCTATATGCATAAAAGAAATCAATATGTAGGTAGAGAATAATAGAAGAGAGATAGTGTAACAATTATTTCATTGAGAAAACATTTTTTTCCTTTACATTAATTTATGTACATACACACACATGAGTTTAGAATTTGTATCTCAAATGGCCTTGGTGACCTTCTTTATCCCTAATGATTTTTTTTTTTTTTTTTTTTTTGCATACCATAGAGGTAGTTAAATATTTTCTTAGTATAACAGGTTTCATCTTTTGTGTGTAAATGTGATATTTTTGTTTTGTTTTTATGTGTGTATTATATGTGTACCTAATGGTAGTAGTATTGTAAATAGTTTTTAACATACTCTGATGATACCCTATAACTGTCAAATATAATTTGTGTTTATTATAATTACTCTTGTTGGGACAACTTCTGCTGTCTCATTTTGGGCATTATGTTCCTGCTTCTTGTTTATTGCTTTTCCCTCCTTACTATTGTTTAGATTCATGCCCCCCCCCCTTGCTCCCACATTCTTGCCACTGATTCAGAAGTTATATACTTGCC